AAAATTTATACTTTTCTGCATAGAAAATATGTAGTTATAATGTATCTACTTTAAGTGTTAATGTTAAATATTGTTATACTATCCCAGAAACCTTTTTTAAGGTGCATACTCTGTGTGTGTGTGTGTGTGTGTGTGTGTGTGTGTGTGTGTGTGTGTGTGTAGTGTATTTGTGCATCTGTGGTTATAATCCACAGATTTTTTTTTATATCCTGTTTCTTACCAAAGTCTACATAGTATTTAAAGAGAATTTTTAAATTTTGTCCCTAATCTTTATCACAACTTGGCCTCTTTTACCTTATAGTTTCTTTAAATCTTACTTCCCTCTCTATACTCTTTGATCCAGTCATATTGCTCTGTTCCACACACAAAGCCTATCTCTGTACCATTGCATTGGCTGACTCTCTGACCTGCAATGCAGTTCCTCTTCACTGAAATGTCTTGAAACCCTTGGTTTATTTTAAGAATCAACTCATGTGTCTCCTTTTAGATGAACCTTTTCCTGAGTCCCTTCACCCTCTACCCACCCTCAACTGGTAGTATTCTCCCTGCTAAAATTATCTTGTATTCATTTTGTTTATATTATGTAGGCATATGTCTATGGATACATTGTCTTCTGGGACTGTTTCTCTTTGTCTTTGTGTATCTCCAGTCCTTATTTCCTGATACATAGTAAACACTTAATAAATTGTTGATTAATCAATTGGTTGTTCAAAAACAAGCACAGTAGAAGTACCCTAGTGGTGGGGGCAAAACCAAGCTTCTAATGTCTTTATTAAAATTATGCAATGCTTTTATTGGATAGATAGATCTGGGCAGTTTTTGGAGATGCAAAATGACTTCAGTGAATTCATAAGATTCGGAAACATGATGTATGTATAGCTAAGTACAACTGTCTCTTTCCTATAGTCTGACACATTTTTCACTTTCCTCCTCATTCTAGCGTGAAAGCTATCTTCGCCAATGTTGGACAGTTATAGTAATGTCATTCTAATATGTTGAGAGTGTGACCTGGTGACCACTATGTCTCTGAACTATCACTTTACGTGATATATGACTTTTGTGATTTGTAACATATACTTTGGAGTTGTGGAATGATATTTTAACATTTATTCATTGACCATTTTTTCCATATACAAGTAAAATCCCATTATGTTGAACTCCATGGAATGTCAAGGTTTTGGATTTTCTTTGGAAAATCCTTTCATTCCAAAGAAAATCCAAATCCTTTCTTTGGTCCTGAAGAGATTCTCTAAAAATTGCTAGATATCATATGTCTATCCCCCAAGACCTCAACAGAAAAAGTTAACTTAGAAAATAGCCTAGTGCCTATAATGAGGGAAATAGAAGTTAGAGGAAGGATCTAGTGATGGGATCAGTATTCATAAATTTGAAAGTTTTTCATGATTTCATGAGGAAATATATCTAGGCTTTTAGAATGGAAGTGAATGTAAAAATCATCTATTCTAACCTTCTAATTTAAAAGATGAGAAAAACTGAGGCCTAGAGAGGGAAGTGACTTGTCTGAGGTCAAGTGATTTATTATTAGAAAAAGGACAATACCCAGGTTTTTCAGACTCCTAGACTACAGCCTAGGGCAGTTTCTATTATATTACATTTCTTCTTAGAAAGGGCAATCCTTTGGCTTTAGCCAAACGGGGTGGTAATAATAATAGCTTCAGTGTAGTTTCTGAGGCATTTATTAAGCACCTGCTATATGCAAGGCATTATGCTAGGTGTCTTGGATACCGATATAAAATCAGTAATCCCTGCTGTCAAACAGCTTATATTTTTGTCAGTATTGGTGGAAGGAGGGAGACAGATGAGTAAGTATGAAGAGAGTACACAGATGAGTAAGTATGTAGAAAAGTAAATAAGAAATAATTTCTGGGTGAATAGTAATAACTTGAGTGGAGGTCAGGAAAGAGTTCATGTAGATTTCACCTGCGCCAAACCTTGGAAGCTAGTGATTCCAGTAGGTGGATCATTAAGTGGGGTTTGGGAATGGGGGGAGAGCATGAGAGAGCGAGTGAGTATACTCCAGGTATAAGTCTATGCAAAGGCTTGGAGGTGGGAGATCAAATATTGTATATAATAACCAGTAGAGCAGTGTGGATAAAATGTAGAGAATGTAGAGCTTGCATTTATATAGCATTTTGTGGTTTACAAAATGCTATCTAAAATCTATGAGTTGGGCAGTAATCATAGCTAATACATACAGTGCTTTAAGATTTACAAAGTATTTTGCATACATTATGATATTTGAGTCTCAAAACATACTATGGCATCATCACAGTTTTATGAAAAAGGAAACTAGGGCTCAGACAGATTATGAGATTTGTCTGTGGACACATAGCTAGTTACAGGGAGAGGTAGGATTTGAACCAAATAATTCCTGGGTCCAAGTCCAGCAATCTTATCTACCATATAATGATACATGAGTCGTTTGAATATTGTTTTCTTGATTTTTTCAGATGAGCATACTGAGGCCTGCGGAGGTTGAATGACTTGTCCAAGGTCACACAAATGGTAAAGCTATGGTGATGAAGTGGATAGAGCACTGGGCCTGGGGCCAGAAAGATCCGAGTTCAAGTCCTACCTCAGACACTTATTAGCTGTGTGACCTTAGGCTGTCACTTAACCTCTGCCTCAGTTTCCTCAAGTATAAAATCTGGATAATACTATACCTACCTCCCAGGGTTATTTTGTAGATCAAATGAGATAATATTTGTAAAGTGTTTAATATAACACCTTGACTTGCACATAGTTCATGTTTTTATTGTTGTTCTTTGTCCTCAAAGGGGACCAAAATGACATCATGATGTCAGGGTCAGTGTACCCCAACTATGTGTCTGACTATTGCTGATCAAACGAGTTTGGAAGACTTTACCACAGGTTGGGCACAAATAGTCCATATGAAAATTTGGAGTGGAGATGTCTCTAAATTTGCACATCTCACATTTCTTGGAGCTATTGCAATTCTGCTTTGCTCATAGAGTACAGTGCTTGCTTTCTTTGATGTGGGCATGCCATGCTGGGTGGTCCTGTGCCGGTGCAACACCTTGCACATAGTTAAGTGCTGTGTAAATGCTATACCATCATTATTATCATTATCATCTCTGGTTTTTTAGTTCTATGTCTGGTGCTCTTCCCTCTATACTGTGCTACCTCTTTTAATGAAGGTGTTGTATATCACAGCTAGATTTTGTTCTAAGCCCTCAGGAATATAAATAAGAGGAGTCTTGGCCAATCACATGCACATATGAGTATCTTTCAGGTATCTTGGCACATGGATGGGTTTGTTGGGTCCTAGTGAAGAGAGGTTGACCTCTTAAAAGAATGATTGGCAAACCTGGGACAGTTGAGAAGAGCTAACGGGGGGGTGGGATGGGTTGGAGACTAGAACAAACAATTCTGAAGATTATATATATCTTCAACTGTTTTGTCCATAAACCTCCATCTTCTCGGTCATTCTTGCTTTGTCAATAATTTTTGGGAAGAAGTTGATTCTTTATTATAAACCGATAGTCTTTAGCAATATAGATACTTCTTGTTCTTTTACACTGAAAAGAATTTTGAATTTTAGGGAAAAAAACAAAGCTATATCCGTTGCAACTTGCAGATATACTCTTCTTCTTTTCAACTTCATGTTGACGATAAATGTTCTAGTCTATCTAATGTCAAGATCATCTTGTTTTATTTATCTTCATTCGCTCATCCATTTATCTATTCATTTGTTTATTTCTGGTCAGGTGACTGACTGAATGAATGAAAGAATGAATGAATGAATGAATGAATGAATGAATGAGTCTTCTTATATTGCCTAGGCTGAAGGTATAGATTCAGTTAGGGTCCTGATCCCACTATTGATTAGCACAGACCGGGGTGGGGAACCTGTGGCTTTGAGGTTGCGGGTTCCCTGCCCCTAGCACAGACACTTTGACCTGCTCCATTTCCAATCTGGGCTAGTTTGTCTCTCCTTAGGCTGCCTGGTGGCTTCCTAGCCCGACAAAGGCTCACTACATATTGGTGTCAGCTTTAAATAGATGCTTGATTAGCTTTAGCCTTACTGCAGTTCAGAACTTCTCAGTTCAAGCCATCTTAGTCTCTAAGTAACAGGGATTATAGGCATGTGCCACCATGCCTGACTTAAAATTAGCTTATTAACAAGATGATGTAGATCTTTAATTGTGACCTATGTATGCTGCTGTGTGTATGCCTACATTATACGTATATAGTTAGTTCAACAATTATTTGAGTGCCTCATGTGTCTTTAATAGCTCTGCCAGATGGCAATATATATGCCTGAACAGCTGTATGTGCACACATGTATACATGCACAATGATTAATTGTAGGCCAAAATAATCTTGGGTTTATCTGTTCTTGACTTCTGAAAGTAATTATTAATGAAGACTAAGTTTGGGTTGTTTCTTGGTAAATTAAGATTCTAGAAATTATTTCTTTCTCAGTACTGATTTAAGCTTATTAGAAGAATGAAATTCAGAAAATCTTGGTTACTTTCATGATTGATCTGTAGTGTGAACACAGTTATAGTACACTTTCTCTATTTTTCTCTATACGTAGGGTACAAATAAGTTATTTCCTGTAGTTATGTGAGTACTATGAGAAATTTTAAGGTAACATTGTATATATATGTATATGTATACAAACACATACATACATACATATATAGTACTTTAGTTTCTTTTTGTTTTTAACTCATAATGAAGGACTTTCTGAAGAATTTGATTCTTGGCCACCTTCATAGGAATTGGTAATTTTCCTGTGTTCAGCTTATGTTTGAGCATAGCATTTTCTATATCTCCTAAGTCTGTTACAGCTCAATAACCAAATATGGGGGAAGTTGGTATATATTTACAGATTTCTAAATAAACTAATTTAATGCATTTTCAAATTTCTTATTTTTAATATTTGATTTGATATATTAATGACATGAAAAGATGCTTTAATTATAACTGTTTTTTAAAAATGTTTATTGCAGGGAAATTTACCTAAGTATTCTCATAATTCTCTGATGGTTCAAGCAATAAAGACTAACCTAACAGATCCGGACATACATGTTCTCTTCTTTGATGTGGAAGCATTGATTATTCAGCTACTGACCGAAGAAGCCTCTAGGCCGAATACTGCCCTTATTTCCCCAGAGAGTTTGCATAAAGCATCTGGCAGTGCTGACAAAGGGGGCTCTTTCCTGACTGGCAAAAGAGCAGCCGTACTCTTCCAACAAGTCAAAGAAACAATCAAAGAGAACATAAAGGAACATCTCCTTGATGATGAAGATGAGGATGAGGAGATGCTGAGGCAGAAGAGAGAAGAAAGTGATCCAGAGTACCGATCTAGCAAATCTAAGCCATTGACTTTATTAGAGTATAATCTAACAATGGATACAGCAAAGTTGTTTATGTCCTGTCTTCATGCCTGGGGTCTGAATGAAGTTCTAGATGAAGTTTGTCTGGACCGCCTTGGAATGCTTAAACCCCACTGCACAGTCTCCTTTGGTCTTTTGTCAAGAGGAGGCCACATGTCATTGATGCTTCCTGGTCATAACCAGCCTGTATGTAAGGCGTCCTGTGGAAAACCAAAATTCTCAGCCACTGAGGGAGTAGGAAAAGGAACCTATGGAGTATCCCGGGCTGTCACCACTCAGCACCTTCTGTCTATTATATCTTTGGCAAATACTTTAATGAGTATGACCAATGCAACTTTTATTGGTGATCATATGAAGAAGGGCCCTGTCAGGTGTGACAATGATTGATTGATTTAATTTCATTTGTTGTAATTTATTTTGTGCTTTTTTTTTTTAAGGTCCACTTTATCTCTGATTAGCACTTCTTGTTTTCTATGCTCTGCAGAGACATGTACATAAAGAATTCTTTTAGTATGTTCTTGATATAGTATTATTTTCCTCAGGTTGTAAGAGCAAATAGAACAAAGTTATACCAACTAAAATAGTTAGCAACATGGATATGGAAGAGATTGATATGGTAGAGAATAGATTTTAGCTGTAGATGTTATTTATAATGACATTTCAAGGTCAGCTCTTGATTAAATACTATCCATGGAATTCCTGCCTGCTAAATGTTTCCTCTAAAATTCAATTCAGGATGCTAAATCTTGTTAGCATGATTGCTCTTATTGTGTATCTTTGCCTGTTCAATGATTTGCTTTAGATTTTTCTATAAAGTGTAGTAATGCTTTAGTGCAATAATTAGGAATTTATTTAGGAGTATTAAAAGCTCTTTTGGGGAAAAAAGCTTTTTATATGCAGTGGAGCTGTCTGTCAATGCCACCAGAACATTAAGACTAAATGGTGACTTCATATTTCCTCAAGTTATAAAAAAAAGCAAAACAAAACCCAACTTCTCAAACCCAGCTTTTGTTCTTTTGTCCTCTGCAAGCTGATCTAAAATTTTCATTTTATTAATTTGAAGACTGAAGGATCTCCTGTGATTTCATGAGTATAGGTAACTCTATGATAAGGAAACTTTGTACCATTGCAGGCTGGAGACTTTGTCTTAGAGAGTTGCTTCAAGCCCTGCAAGGTTGAGTGACTTTCCCAGAGTCTCACAGCCTTTGTGTGTGGTAGGTAGGGCTTGAACCCCTATGTTCCAGGCTTTGAAACCATATGGTATGAAACCTTATAGTAACTCTCTGTTACTATACCACAGTGCCTCTGCCTCTCTGCCTCGTTCTCTCTCTGTCTCTCTTCCCCCCCCCCCCCATCTCTTTTGGTTGGCAGTGTACTATCCTAATAGAGCTATACTCTTGGATGGTAGGGCTTTAAGAACTTTTAAATGTTTAAGTATTTTCCCTTTATATGCCCTGTGATGGGCATTATATAATCAGTGATAATGTTTTGGGCTATCTTAACTAGGTTTTAGGCGTACAGACAAAACAGATGTTCTATATGCCAAATATGCATTTTGTCAGCATTTGGTGCATTTTTTTTGGAAGGGGGGTGGTTTACTATATTTAAATTTTTATTGCAGTAAATTTGAAAACATTCTATATGTTTATTCTTTTAAATGCCATAAATGTTTAAAATGTAACTTGTTTACTACCGTTAAGTTTAACTATATTATATATATATGTTTTTTTTAAAGGCCACCTAGGCCAAGCACCCCAGACTTTTCTAAAATGAAGGGTTCCCCTCCGACTTCCAGTAATGTTGTGCAAGGACAGATTAAACAAGGTAAAGTTGAATTTTATTATGTAGTTGATTTGACATTTCAGCTTTAGAAATTGAAAAGGTGTAGATAATATATAATAGATAAAATTTAATTTGTTTCTGATTGTTAAAAGGAGAGAAAAGTTTTTATATATCAAATGAAGATTTGGGTAATTAAGATATCAGTTTAAAAATATGATTTACATAGTAATTGACAAGTGACTAATTCATTCGAACTTTTCATTTTATGTTCTGTAACTTGATATGCATACAGTAGAAACATCTTAACTTTGTAATATCAAGGGCTGAATTGGAAGTGTACCTGGACCCTAAAGGTTATATTTTTTTTAATCAGTATTTTAAAATGTTACAGAAATCTAGAGTTCCATTCTGTATAGTAATCTTTTGTTATCGTCAAGCATATTATTAATATTGTGAATCAACAATCACCAAGGGATTTATTAGGTACTTACTATGTGTCTGTTTCTGCTAAGCACTGAGGTTACCAAGAAGAAAAAACCAGTCCTTTCCCTTAAGGAGTTTACATTCTGATAGGGGAGATAACGAGTGTACTGGTATATACAAGATACACAGGAGACAAAGGGTAACCTTAGAGAAGAAGGCAGTAGCTGGACAAACCAGGAAAATCTCCAGCAGAAGGTGGTAAGTGAGCTGATTCTGGAAGGAAGCCAGAGATCTTATAGCCCTGGACCGAAGGAGAAAGACCATACCAGGCACATAAAGCAGTCAATGCAAAGGCGTGGTGATAGAAGATGAAGCATTGTTTTTGTGAAGTAGTAAGTGGGCCTATATAGCTGGATTGATGAGAAAGATAGGAAGAGGTTGGATTGTGAAGAGGTTTAATTGCCAAGCAGGAAATTTACATTTGACTCTGTAAATGATAGAGAAGTAATGGAATTTATTGTATATGGGACATGTGACATGAGATATTATACATTAGGAAAATTGCTTTGGCAGTCCTGTGTTGGTTTGGAGTGGAGAGAGACTTGAGATCGGGAGAGCAGGTATGAGACTTTGGCTCTAGATGAGAAATTTTTGTCTAGATGAGAGAAGAGGAGGGCCTGAAGTAGGGTGGTGGCTGTGGGAGTAGAAGGAAGGAGATGTCTGTGAGAGATGTTGTGGATAAAGAAGTGACCTGATTGTGCATTGATTGGACTTTTCACTTTTAAATTATTTTCAAAATTATCATTCCTTTTTATTGAGATCACTATTGACTTGATCGTTTCTTTTGTTTTCTGCTTGTAGCTGTTGTCTAACAGGCACTTGGAAGGGAAGGAAACTCGAGTTCTTCCACCTCACTCAGCCACCAGGAAATGCTTTTTTTCTTGTGAAGTAGTTCTTAGTCTCTAGGGCATACCTAAGTCTGAAAAATGAGCTACTAGAGAGTGTTTAAGAAGGGAGGGGGCAGGGAAGGGAATAGTTTTACTTGGAATTGTTGTTCATATTGATCTGAGAGGTGGTATTGTCTATTTACAATTTGGAATAGGGGGTGGTAAATAGTTTAGCTTTTTATTGCTCAACTCTTGACTGGGTAGAGAGAATTATTACTACCAGGTTGTGATTTCATAGTCTTTATATGTGAAGTTATATTATGTTTGACATATACTCTGAAATCTTAGAACATCAGCTATGTCTCCCAAAATGAAATAGCAATGGTAGTGTAGTGGAAAAAAATGCTGAGTTTGAATCAGAAATTCTGGGTTTAAGTCTTAATCTCAGTGATCTAGAACAAGTCATTATCTCTTTGGGCTTCATGTTGCTTGTGTAACATGTAAGGTGTAGGGCATGATTGGTTTTTAAGATTCCTTTCAGTTTTAACATTCTGTAATTCTAAATTACTTTTAGTTTATCTGCTGATTTTGATTCTATAGCCTTATATCTTTGTCAAGATAACTGAGAATTACCTGCATTTGGTGTAGCTTTTATTTTCTTTGGTACATTAAAAGAAACTTTTATGTTTCAAAAAAAAAACAACCAACTGCTTTAAATTACTCCTGTTTGACTTTCTAGATTGGGAATGAAACTTGTCATAGATGTAAGCCTGAAAGCCTCTTGGAAGTAGTTACAGCCTGTTTAGAGTAATAATTTGTATATACATTACTACTATCTTAGGTAATTGCAATTTCATATTCGCTAATAATAATGTGACAGCTACTATTCATATAGCCCTGTAATGTTTGTACAGAGTTTTACGTGTATTGTATCATTTGATCCTCACAACCACCCTGTGAGGCAGGTACTATTTTTATGGCCATTTTACAGATGGCAAATTAGAGATGAAGTGAAGTGACTTGCCCATGGTTACACAGCTAAGAAGTTTCCAAGGAAGGATTAGAACTCAGATTTTCCTGACTCTTAAGTCCAGCACTTTATGGAGTGCATTTCACTGAAGCTCACCTTTGAAGTCTCACCATGATGTGGAAATAACTCTCCTTTTTCAAGATTGTGCCAGCATGACACAAGCTCTGGCACCTCCTTTCAAACTGGAAAGGCTTTGCATAAAGGCCTAGTGACACATCTATATGTCACTTACCTGAACAGCCTAGTTAAAAGTTTAGGAGGAGAATTATAATCAAATTTGCCTTAGTTAGAGCTGTGCATTTTTCAGCCACAAAACTTCAAAGACTATCTTGTGTATTTTAGAAGAGTTGAGATCTGGAAAGGTGAAGGAACTCCCCACCCTGATGAAATAATACGTTTTCGAAGTACTTGCACCAGATGCTGGTTTTTTCCCTAGAAATGTTTCATTCTGATTTTTTTTATCTTATAATCAGGAGAGAAAAAGCTAAGCAATAAATTCATAGGTGGAGCTCTTTTGCTGTAGAGTCCACTAAATTTTTGTCCTTTTCTTGCAAAGTATAGTTGGCCATTTGTTTTTGTCTTTCAGTTTCTTTCTACTTGTGGAAGAGAGAAGCTATTGAATCAAAAAAAAATCAGGACTTAAGTAATCACACATATTTCTTTTCTTTATCTTCTATGAGAATTATTTTTTGGCTAGTGGGCAAAATTATTCTTCATATATTCTTTCAGATAATTTTGTTCAAGCTCTCCAAATAGGAAATTTCTCTCAAATGTAATATTTTCAATTTTGTCTCATATTCAGTTAGAGTGGTACAGTTTATACATAAACTTTGTGATTAATCTTCAAGATTGATTTATTCAGTTTTAAATAAAAAAGAGGCCCAAATCCCCATGAACTTACTATTAAAAAAATCTGAGTGTTTAATAAGGATATGTTTTTAGTTTACGCTTGAGTCAGTAATCACTAGAAGAAAGACCTCATAGAGAGTAACATTTTAAGAGGCAAGCAGTCTTCCCATTTCATTTTAAAATCTTATTAAAATACCTTTTAAGAAACATTCACTTCAAAAGAATAGTAGAATGTAATGTCTCTCGTTTAATTAGTTTAAAGTCTCATCTCAGACTTACTACTGTTAAAGAGTTTAAAAAAATATTTTTCTACTAGGTGTTTTTTTCTTTGACTTATTTTTCATTCCTGCAACAGTAGCAGATTTTTGGAGAGTGCTTCAGCAGCACATTGTGGCATGTTCACTTTCTATCAGTCATGTCACCAACTTACTGGTGTTGAGTTGGCTGAGCTGGTCACGTCAGTCCACTTTCTGTTGGTGCAAATGGCTCAGTGCTGAATTAATGCAGCTTCTACTTGGCAAAGAATTGAGTGTTGAGAGCACTGAGAAGGGCATTGAGAATTGAGACTCTTTAGAGAACTCATTTTAGGCAATAAGGTCAACAATTTCCATGTGGATAGCATTGAGCAGTAAAACACCCACTAGCCTCTCAGATCCCTGTCTCTGGCAGCAAAGTCCATAGACATCCACAGTCTCAAGTGACATGGGGTGAGACATTAAGACATTTCTGTATGACATTATGGAATGTAGTGGTCTCTTTCAAAAGGAATTGAGCTTTTGAAGTGTCCTCTGATTTTACTTTAGCAGTTAGACTACTTTAACTTTTATCTTTCTACTCTGCCCAGTTCATCTCTCTGTTTTCATTGTGATTTATGATTTCCTTTTCCTCATGTTCACCTTGGTGCAGTGCACATAAACCCATATATCTGCAGTTATTCTAGTACTTGTATAGAATCAATGTTCATTAGGAATTCACATATATTGGTCTAGAGTTAGCTGCGGAAGCTGCCTTAAGGTCTGCACGAGAGAAATGTCTGCATTTTCTGAGCTAATAGTTCTTAATTTAATTTTGACATGAAAGATAATACAGATTTTATATAGTCTTCACTGTACTATATATGAATCTAGGAAGCTATATTGCAAAAGGATGTTAACTACAAGACTTCTGTATTGTAAAGAGTCTTTTTCAAAAACAAAACATGTTCAGAAGTGGGGGAAGCTGATTTAAATTAATGAGAAATAGTGAATTAGATTTTACCAGCTACTTGTTTGACTTGGAAGTTTTTTGTTTTTTGATTTCTTTTTAACAAAACATCAGTGAAGGGGCAAGGTTATTGAATGTTAAAATGTCAGGTAACCAGATTCATATTGTCATAATGGTGATCCCTTAAAATTCTTAAGTGCTTCACATTTTTTTCAGAAATCTTTTATGTACTTTCACTTATATGATTCCTATAACAACTGAATGAAGTAGATCCTTAGTCCTGAATGCACCTGTCATACAGGAAAACATCTTGGTTTGTGTAATTTTATATTTATTAATTACTATGCTTCTGTAGGCCTAGACTGCAAAATGTAAAGAGAACTTATGTTGATGCTTTACAAAGCAAACTTGCCATTCTTCTAAAATCATTCTATCTTGTTGAAAATATTTAATAGATTGTATTGAATAAGAATTGTTTATTCAGTACAGCATGACCCCAGAATTTGGGACTAAGCAATATTAATGATGAAGCCTGATGGTTGATACTAAGCTTGGTATTAGGCTGTAAATTAAGATTTAGTATGTTTAAATATTGATGCTACTTCTTTAATCACAAGGATATTACCATTGCATAATACGTAAACCTAAAA